GACTGGGATCTGACGGGAGCTGCAGACAGCCAAGATGAGGGCTTGAGCGTACGCAGAAGAGGGGAAGATGGGCAGCAAAAAAAGACAGGATAATGGGTGAGTTTGAGAAGAAAGACTAGCAGTGAGCAAGGGGAATTTAGGATCTAGTTTGAGAGATGAAATAGTAGGGGAAGAGGAATAACGGTATTGCGAAAGAAACTGGACAGAGGAGCCTATAAAGAAAAAGTGACACATACAAGTTGAATCAGAAAGGAAGGGGAAAAACTAGCAGTGAAGAAGAATGGAGGGAAGTAAAAATGATCGTAGAAAGAGAGAAAGAGAGAAAACAAAAAAGCAGAATAGCATGGCTATTTGATAAAACATGGAGAGGGGCCACACGGTGCAGCAGGGCTTCAAGGAAGAAAAAAAAAAAGATGCATATTTAAACCAGACAAGCAATATCTGAGGAAGAGTGGATTAAAATACAAGACAATAAGAAAAGAAGGAGAAAATGATGGTGAAAGAGTGGATATAATTTGTATTCACAGTAGCTACTGAATCTCGGATGTTAACTAAAGTACAAATAAGTAACTACACAGGTTAATTAGAAAAAATATTACTATTTAGAAAGTAAGCTTTTTTTAGAAAAGTAAAAAAACCCCACCATTTTCAAATTTATTAAAGACCATGTAAATTGAGCTTTTCAGAAACTTTTGCAAGGCAATCTAACACACAGAAAATACAACATCACTAGCTCACCTAGAAACAAGAAAATATACATATAACAAACTAATTTCTTTTTCATGAATAGTTTGAGTTCAATAGTGCTGTTAATTTAAGTACAGTTACTCATATATATTACGAACACTATTATTTTGCTAACCCATAAAATTCATTAGAAACAAGGATAACGTACTCAAAGTACTCCATTCCATTACTTTACCTGTCTCCGACACAGTTCATTTTTCTCTTGGTAATATTAAATACAGGTCTGCCAGGGATAATAATTCTCTTAGGCCAGTATTTCAGGAAAACTTCACTGTTACCTTGGCATAGATCACTTAACAAAATCTGATTTAAAGTTTCTGAGAAAAGGTTCCCCAAACCTTTCCAAGAACTTTGCTTGCAAATTCAAAGGCCTTTGTCTGCAAATTTCTCATCATTTTATTAGTTTCTGAAAGAAATACTGCCTGTCATTTGCATGATTTCTGCTGGATTGAGTCCCAGTCAAGGGCTCGACTACAGACAGGCACATGAGCAATTGCTGAAATGAACAAGTACTGCTGGAGTTAAAGAGTCTATTGATCTGACTAAAATTACTCATACAAACGTGAAGACAGGTGTAGACCAGTTCCTGGGGGTTTTTCGAGAAAAATATCACCATGTTTCTACTGAAAAGTCAAGGTATCTTTCCTTTCTAGCTAAAGCAGGGATTACTCTCAGAAGCAGACCGCGCCACAGCTGAAACATGTCCTACTGAAAAGCTGTTACTCAATTTTTAAATGCAACCAGCAAGTATGTATGATGTTTCCCAAGTACTCCAACCTCTAACCACTGGTGGCTCAAGGGCTCCCTGAGCCAGACATGGTTTCTATATAGTACGTAACCCTCAACGGGTTCGTCTCCATGAACTTGTCCAACTCCTTGTTGAGCCTCTCAGCATCCATAGCACGCTGTGATACGTATTTTCAGTGTTAACTAGACCCTATATGAAGAACTACTGCCATTTGTTTGTCTCAAACCTGCTTCCTGTCAACTTGATTCCTCTTAGTTTTTTGCATTGGAACTGATTGCTTATTGTACTTCACTGTTTACCTTCTCTCACAGACATAATATTTTATATGATCATCATATTCCTCCTTAGTTATCTTTTCCAGACTGAAGGGCCCTAGCTTAGTTATTCCTTACATGGAAACTGTTTCACGTCTATATGTTGCCCTTCTCTGACCCTTCTCCTGTTGCCTTATCTGTAAGATGGGAACTAAGAACTGTGCAACTATTCAAAATACTGAATAACTATGGATTGATACAGTGGCAAAATGATACACCTAGTCCTTCCTAATAATTCCTAATATTTAATTTGCTTTTAAAAATACTAATAACATCAAGTTGATGCTTTCATTGAAAGGCACCCACCATAGTCCCAAGATCTTTTTCTGCTACTTAATGATGTCAATAGCTTTTTTGTGCAGCAAGGATTTCTAGGAAAAACCCCAAACAAACAACAACCCACTAAGTATTTACTAATAACTAATGCTTCTCTTAAAAGAAATGCAGACAGTGGTCTCCGACAGTCTGATTTGTCTATTTAAGTGTTAAAATATGTATAAATATCATAGTGAAAGTACTTATTTGCTGCAGAAACTTGTCTGCTGCATTACTGTTGAGCGTGCTTGAAACTCCTGTCAACAGCAGACTAAAAAAATCCCAGGAAAGAACTCTAAAGTATTGTCTCAAGGTCTGTAACTACCCCCATAAAGAAGAAAAATGACTAGTTTCCTTACTCTTAGGAAAAAAAAAAAAAATCAAACGCCCTGTAACAGTATAAATTGTGTGCTTTTATACCATTGCTTTCTTACTTATAATTACTTTGAAAACTGGCACTATCCCGAAAACTATAGAAAAGGCCACAGCTTCTTACAATCGCTTTATTAAATAGTAAATCCATTTACTAAATTGTGTTCTGGCCAGATCCGATAAAGCATTCCATTTTCTGGCAACAGACAAAATAGGCACAGAGTGATTTGCAAGGCAAACATCATACTTCTGAGGTAGAAATGCTTCTAGTTGGAGACAACTGCATTCATAACCTTACACCAAATCATTACTTGCTTTACTATAAATAAATGATGAAAAAAATGTAGTTAAAAGAAATGTAACTATAATTTTCTATTAAAAATATACGATTGTAGTAAAAAACGGATTTCCTGAGGAGGAATAGGAGTTCGTTTGATGCCTTTCAGGCTTGTTAATACAATTACTCCTTTTCCCAGTGAAGCAGACAGAGGTGATGAAGATCCGCTTACCTTATTTACACAACAGGACGCTAGAAACTGAAATTAGCCAACAACAAGTATTAAGATTTCAGGTGAGCTGCCTACTTGTTTCTCATGAACTCTGTCCAGCACAAGCGCAACAGTACTTCTTCAGAATTAGAGATGCCTGAAAATACTCAAACATGTAACAGTTGCAATTATTTTTAGGTATATGACAGAGATGAAAGAAAATCTACAAAGGTGCAACGAATTATCACAGTAAAAAGGAAAAAGTAACAAGGTGGGTACGAATCCACCTTGCTTTGGCACCCAAATGGCATTAATGAAGCAGTCCTCCTCAAGATAAGTGCCTGTATACTTTATACAAATCAATGTGGAGAAGCTGGTTCCTCTGAGGGGTGCAACAGGAGATCCTGCCCAAGCCAGGCAGACTCCAGCAGATAGACTCTTGGTCTGTAAGCCAACAAAAGAGCCTATCTTTCTCCAGACACTATTTGGACAATTCATGCATTTCCTTTGTTCTGACTGCTTTGTTAGGTGTAAGTAGCTGGAGTGGTTTTAAACAATGTAATATTAATTAACGCTTTTCAGGATGTTAAAGGAGTAGAGCAAAACAGAAAAACTGAAGACAACTAGAGATGGTAAGAGACTTGCTTTTACAAAAAAAGTAGCCATCCATCATAGAATAATAACTTGCATTTTTGTTTGATAAAATCACACTATTTTCAGAAATATGGAAGTTATCAGTATTAATATGCTGATTTTAGATCTTAACTGTTTCTGTCCTCCAAACTACTTTCCCATTTCTTTCAGTATATTAGCATCTTTGCTTTCCTGTAACTACATTCTGGGGAATTTTCTTCTCTATTTTTTTTTTTTTCAGTTCAACTTCTTCCTTTTGGTTTCTCTGCAAGTCTGGAAGCTATAGCTATGCGTGCTGATACTTCTTCAAAGGAAGAGTAAAAACTACCTAGACTTCCTGCCAGCCTTGTCTGTTAGCCTCCAATGCTCCTAACGCAAAAAAACCCGCAAAACCAACAAAAATAGCTCTCACAAAATAGCTGTGAATTTCCTTCCCCAGCAAGATGTGTAACACATTTCATCCAGGAGGTTATTTTAGTTGAGAAAATCTGCATAAATGGGCAACAAATTGTCTACCATTGTAGAGGCATTTCTGCAGACTGGATCTGATAGGTTTTTTTGGTTTTTAGGATGCATGGATACAAAAGCTTTTTGTTATTAAAAAAAATAAAACCAAACTCCCTTAAACTCTGCTGCAACATTGCCAACACACTTTTAATTGGGGGCCTGAACAAGTATTTTGAGAGAAATGTGTATTTTCTGCTAAAGACAGGACATAGGCCTTCATTTGGAAATGGAAAGAAAAGTCAAAGATAAGCAGACTGGATGGTTCTAAGAACTAGTCTTTCAGAGAATATATCCTGTGCTGCATGAATAGATTTGAAAGCAAGGCATCGAGAACACACACTATAGCAACAATTTGCCATTTTATCAGGTGATCTCTGACTTAACGTTAACGGTTAAATACAAAGCGATATTCTTGAAAAATGTATTCCTAATACATGAGTTTGTCTTGATTCCATCACAATAGTTCATAAAAAATGTCCTCGATATAGTGTGCATTATGAGGATGCAAACCATAATTCAGTTTGTAGACAAATTTTATGGTGCAATGAATTCAAAAAAGAAAATAACTTCATAAATAGGTGAACTTATAACTTAAAACACTTTGCATGCTTCTTTTGCACTGAAAGCATTAACGCTTCTCATTCTGATCACATAAGGAAGCTGGTAAGCTCCAGTTGCCTTACTAGGCCATAACACAGACAGAACAAAGTGTTAAATTATAAGAACGTGTTTTTGAATCCAACGGTTCCAACATATAAACTCTGAAATACTGAGCCAGAGTACACTGTCAAATGTATTAAGAATTTTAAAAAGCCAACAACTCTCAGGAACGTTCATTTTCAAGAAGGAGATCAAGATAAAGAGATTATTATTTACCTGCCAACATACTGCCCCCAAAACAGCAGTTGCGACAAGGCTGAAAAATACGAGCTGTTCTGAAATTAAACAGAAGTGACGCATTCCTTTAGATGCCATAACTCTATCAAGGCTGTTATTTTCTGTTCTGTGGGTATAATATACTTTGTGACAGTCATTTAATTTTGTGTGAAATCCCCAGAGAGTTATAAAAAAAATAACATGACAGATCATCCAAAAAATTCCAAAAATAGAAAAGCCAGGTATCACAAAATACCAGAGATCCAAGTCACCTAGTTTAAAGGCTGCAAGAATGAAAAAGATAAGTTCGATGACTCCAACTGAGATGACAGAAAGCCTTCTGCAAATTTTACCACGGTATAAGTAGGGCTTCCACCGTTCAGTAACTGAAAGTCCACTGAAGTAAACATCGAGAAGGGGATCTGAAATTAGGCAACTGAAGAAACAAGCCAAGGCAAACGGGTTTGTGGGAATTTTCAGTGAAGGAAAAAACAGCAAGGATGCAAGGGCTCCAAAAATTGCCAAATTTGGAATTGCCAAAAAAGACTTCATACGTAAGTCAATAATCAGCATGGCCAAAGCCATGACGAGCAAAATAATGCTCATAGATTTTTCTACCAGCATAGTTGTGCTGGCAATCGCAAATCCAACCAGCTCCAAAAATTCAACTGTTGTCAGCAGAGTTGGTCGATGATGGATACAGCCACAAATCCTCTCAACCAAAGCACATAATATCCTTAAAACAATGGCAGAAAGGAGCAAATACTTAGTAGCTTCTTCTTTCACATCATTTTTGAAGGCAGAATTATTAAGAAAACAGAGAAGGCCAAGCAAAAAACCAAACCAAAGATTGGAGAGACTCAGACTTGCTGCTTCCATTGAAAAATAGTAGTAGAGTATGCTGGCAATTCCAAGAACAAAAAGCCCGAGGATAAATATTACCAAAATCAGTGCATCTGCAGTTTTCTCCCATCTGACATAAAGGCCCATGCAAATGGCAACCAGTAAGTTGATTCTGGCAAGATAGCCAAGATATCTGACAGACGAATGCATGTTCACTTCTCTGTTTGCTTCTTCTAACCTTGTCATTGCTGCATAGAGACAGTGACTAACACAGTAGCGCAGTGACCTACACATGTAAACTGCAGTTAAGGGTTTTAACCCACTTGACCGAAAGTAAATAGTTGGGTTTCATCCAAAAAATACAATGCAATAGCTGGCTTCTGTACTATCATTTCAACAACAACGGTCCAGGATCACTGAAGTCCTAGAAAAAGAATTGGAAGAAGTGTTAGTGGCAAATTATTGCTTTTAATCTTACACAACATAGAGATGACACATCCTTTTCCTCCAAATAGTTTAACATTTAAAAATAAAAAATATAGAATAAAGATTAAATAAGTATTTTCTTAAAGGTCATGTAAATTGGGGATCATTATTAAAAATGATATAGAATGATTTTCTCATAAATCTTATTCATAGTTTGAATCAGAAGATAACGTTAACCAAAGCTGGCCAACGCCATTTTTTCCCGTGAAAAACATCCGTTAAATATATCTATGAGCATCCAAAACACTTCTATCATTTCTACCACCTTCTGAAATATTTTAACATAGCTACAGGATTTAGAAAAGAACTTCATGACCAGTAATCTGGTCAGAACTTCATTAGCTTAAACCCATAAAAGAGCATGAAAAAGGAAATTACCATTACCTCAATTTCTCAGAATGGGCATGGACACACGGAATATCAACCGATTTGGCCATCATCATATTCAGAGTCAAAAATCCAGACCTTTCTTAGTGTAAAATTAAAGCCTCCATATTACATGTTCATCCCTCCAAGCCACTTTTTCCACAAAAACAGACAAAATCATCAGGATGAATATTTAGAACTTAAGCTCCTCCTAACCAGATCCGGTTAACAGATTTTTTTTTTTTTTTAATACAATACAGGAACAGACAGTAATATTTTTAGAAGGAATTTTGAAAGAAAAAGCAGCTATGGAAGTCTCGCTAGAGATCATTATTATTTTATGGGATAAGTATTTTCCTGACCTGAACTGCATCCTGAAATGTGAGAACTGCTGTAACCCTACTAATGTCTAATTTCACTGAGTTTACACATAACCAATAGTATTAAGTGCTACAATGAGAAGTTTAAAAGTTGTTGAGGAAATTCTATTTCCATCAAAACCTACATTTCACTGTATTTATTGAAAGTTGCCTTAATACAAAGCTGTTAGAGGCAGAGTACAAAGCTCTCTAGTTAAAGGCACACAACGTTTGTATTTTGAAGTCATATCCCTGCTCTGCATGCCAAATGTGTTATAAGTACCAAATTCATAGCAATTATTTGGAGCACACGCTTTCTGAGAGGCTAACTCCATGCCAAGAGAACCACACGCATTTCTAATTTTTGCTGCTTTTGTGCCTAGAAACTCTAAATCAGGAATCACTGAATGAATAATACAGAGCCTCAAAGAAAATAAGATGGGAAACAACAGGTGGATCACAAGAAAATAAAGAAAGAATAAAATAAATATCATTATTTTTCCTCCTCAAATTTTCTTAAGAAGTTTCACAAATTAAAAGGGAACCCAGAATCACTCTTCAAATTCCCTTAGTTAAAACTCAATGAAATCCTACGTAGTATTTATATTTTAAAACATAAGTTATAAATGAAGTTCTTAACAAAATGTTTATCCAAGAGTATGATTATTCAGGTTATGGGCAGAGTCCCCAACAAATAAGGATAACAAATAACAGGAGGCCTCTATGATTTTTGAATTAATTACCTACTTGACCATCTTTCTAAAGAGTTAACAGTGTAAGAGAGCAGCCAATGTGTCAAGAACATTTAAAAGCTACATTATAGCTCACTGCTGGGGGAAGCATAAAGGTAAACTAAACTTGAACTCAAAACCTAGAATTTATTCTCAATGTTTAAATTTTAGTTCTTTAAATCAATGAAGAAAAAAAAAAGTGAAGGATTGATTGGTCCACAAACTTTGGCTATTTTGGAGACTGACATCCAGTGCAAAACCATCTTAAGTAACTGGTGCAGTGACAAACTGGGCTTAAGAAATCAATTTTTTAAAATTACTCAAGACTGAAAGTACACATTTTCAAATTATCTTAAACAGCTAACAAGATTGTGGGTATGACTTGAGAAGAACTGTGCACTTAAATTTTGTTTACTTGAAACAGAATAACTAATATTCATACTGAACGATTATTACATAATGCCATTACAAGGCAGAGCTGTTTGGATTTCAACTGTGTTATTTTCATAGCAATGATTATTATTAATGTTTTATACATAGACTTAATTCCGAAGTGCCTAGACTCCCCCTATCTAGCGATATGCTGTTTCTCTCAACCTGTCATTAATATTCCACTTCATATAAGTAACACAACTGAAAGTTAGCTATCATGTTCCAGGTAACTGTATGTCATTTACAGTATTATAGCACTGTCCACGCTCTTCTCAGTTTTTCTCATAACACAATCAACGTTCACTTTTTAGACAGTTTGAGCCATTTATTTTAACACCTACATCTTTACCTCCCTCAAAGTTACCACTAATTCAAACCATAAACATACAGCAATGATTTCACTGTTCCTTCTAATCCAAGGTACGGATGCTTCAGTACTGCTGCGCTGAACTTCATCTGCCATACCGGCCTGTAATCTTGATTACTGAGCCGTTCTGGAGTTCCTCCAAGTTAAGGGACAAACACTATAAATGTTTATTTAGACAACAGCCTCACTGAAATCATCAGATTGGCTCATACGTGAAAAGTTAAGCTTCCACCTAATCTAACGCCTGGTTTAAAGTGTTGACGTTATTACTAAGTTATTTTTTTGCAGGATCATTATGCAAGCAAACTCCCCAGCCTGGAAGCAGCCACTCTGACAGAAAACTACTCGGACTACTTCACCTTGGGTCAAGTGGGGTTTTGTTATGGTAGGTCATGAGAAACCCTCCTCCAGCTGACATCCCCTGTGCTCGCACAGGGGGGTGGGGGAGCGCCTGCATATTTATAGCCGCAAAACAGAAAGTCTACTCAAGACCTAAATATATGCAAAATGACAACTTGGACCATAAATTCAACCTCCTCTTCCTGACTTCCTATGAAATTAGCAAAAAGCTTCACTAGTAAGCCATGCTAATGACTACTAATGTATTTTTCTGCCCAAAATACGTGATCACTTTTTTGGTGAAAAGAGGAAACGGTAGTGTTCATGATTAATATATCACATAAATATTACCAAATGTGTGTAATAAGAACTTTCAATATCTGATTTATTCTTTGAAACATATGCAACTTGTTACTTGTTTCTGTTCAGACTCCAAACAAAGCCTGATCAATGTTTTTTTCTTTAGCTTTTTAAGCTGATGTCCTTAATATTTCAGGTTGCAATGGCCAAGTTACATATCTGACCAGATCGCATTTAAATTCAAAATAAACAGAATATGTTTATCTGTTACTAAACATTCCTCATCAGGTTTGTAAACACTTATGGTTTTAAGCAAAACCTGAACCGGACTCTAAATATACATTCTGAAGCTAAACTATCCAAGAACTTTTCTATATGTAAAGCAACGATATTCCCAAGGAGGCTTTTACCATCATCTGTCTGAGAAAGGTGGAAAAAACCCAAAGAGGCTCCAACAGTTTAACTACAGCTGATATCAAGCTTAGGTGAGGCCTATCTAAAACAGATACTGAAAGTCTGCTGACGGGACTTGCCTTCCTTCTGTTTTATTCTTCTAGTTTAGGGCACTTAAAAAAAAAAAAAAGGTAACTCCATGAGAGTTTCTTTTTTTAAAGTAGCATTTTACCAACACCCATTAATACAGAGGCTTTCACGCCGAGATTAACGATTCAGCCAGCTTTTCAACGTCAAGGCTCAACCCACGGGCGCTGCGGCGGGTGCCTGCC